GGTCGATTGGAGGAGTTTCAACACTCACAGGTCGATTGGAGGAGTTTCAACACTCACAGGTCGATTGGAGGAGTTTCAACACTCGCAGGTCGATTGGAGGAGTTTCAACACTCACAGGTCGATTGGAGGAGTTTCTTCAGTTTGAGGTTCCTGTAAGCTTCGACGCTGCGAGCGGTGACAGGATCAGATGCAATTGCTGCTTCCTTTGTTCCCCTACCGATCTGCAATGCAAAGCAGAAGAGCTGTACGTCTCAAGTTGGCGGTTTTCTTTAAGATGAGATGAGTAATAATTTTTTTAGACTCCGGTGTTGATTTCTTCCTGTTGTGACGAAGCGTGTCGACTTCGCACGCAAGACCACGACGCACTTTCCGGAAAGGAACCATCAGGGATCCTTTCGCGCTCAAAAACAACAAGCGCTGGAGAACGGAAAACCCGCATAACCTGGCAGAAGAGCGTGCACTCATCGCACGAAACGCCACATGAAGCCACGGCCCGAGTCGCAGAGGAAGCAGCAGGCACTGGCAAAGCGGAGAAGGAAGACACCGCGGCATCATCCACCGCGGCATCATCCACCGCGGCATCATCCACCGCGGCATCATCCACCGCGGCATCATCCACTGCAAGGCGCGGAAGGACTGAGGTTTCGATGGGGAGGTAGACCGGTAAGACAACGAAGGGAAATGGTCACCTTCACCAGGCCCCAGGCCAAATGGAACATTTTTTTCTTCCTTCCCTCTTTTTTCTTAAAAAACGGACGAGCTTGGGAACGTGCGACAAGGGTCATGGAGATCATCACACGCTCATCGAAGCCCCATGGCGCTCGACAGTGCACGGCTTTAGCATTCTTCCTCAAAATTGCGGCTTCATCAATGAACTGCATCGAAACACTTATTTGCTCTCAATCTACCTTCAACCTATGACTTCAGAGAAATTCTGAAACGGCAAATCCTAAAAAGAAAAAAGGCATTACCAATTACAACGGTTACATGAACCGGGTAGGTTCGATATGATTTATTGATGCGAGTTAAAGTGCTCAATGATTATGCCAATTTATTTACATATGAATGGTAAACACTTTTAAATGGAATTAATTCTCCGACTCGAGATGAAACACCACAATGCCAAATTCCAACTCATCCTAGAGATTTCCCAATATGTTTATCGATTCAAGTAAAATATGAACCCATTTCCGCTTACTGGAAATAAAAACAGCATAAATTGCTTCAAGTCTTCTTTTTCCCAGGCTCCGTATAATTCAAAAACAATAAAAAACGGAATCTAGTCCCGTCCCTCACTTTCCGATCCCGCGTCCAGTCCGGACCGCATCCGCGACCGTCGCGATCAAGAAGATCGCGAAGGCGATTCTCGGAGATGCACCCGCCATTTCGCTCTGCCCCCAATCTCAATCTGAAACTCGCAATCATAAAAAAGTATTTCAAACAGGAATTTGACATTCCGCACCCAGAGCCTTGATAGGCGATCCGAGCGTTCAAACGCTTTTCTCTCTTTCGTTACATCGATAGTTCACGATGAAAATTTCATTCGAAACGACTCCAAGTGTTCACGATGTACCGAGTCGACTTTCGACTCCGACTTTTCGGCCCTGGAAAGCAATCCCTCCGACTCGAGTTCGTAACGCGAATCCCGCCCATATGCGATGCTCGCGACGTTCGCGGAGAGAAAGAGCGGTCGCCACTCACAACCGGGGGTGTCTTTCGCGACGAAGAAAGAAGCTAGACCTAAGGCAGAAGCATCGGCAAAGCGACGTAATTAGAAGAGCGTGCAGACGGGAGATACCAAACGCCACATGAAGCCACGGCCCGAGTCGCAGAGGAAGCAGCAGGCACTTCAAAGCGGAGAAGGAAGACACCGCGTCATCCACTGCGTCATCCACTGCGTCATCCACTGCAAGGTCTGAGGGTGAAGGACTGAGGATTCGACGGGGAGGTAGACCGGCAAGGCAACGAGGGGAAACGGGAAGGTCACGTCCGCAGGCCAAATGCCATTCCTTCTTTTTCTCGCAAGGAAAAAGCGGAGGCATTCATCAGAGGTGAAGTGAATCGAAATCTCATCCCATAGCGTCTCGATTGTCGCCCGTGAGAGACCGGGAGGCACTCGCGAAGCAGGCGTGCAACCAGCCGTTTGCCACTCGACCCTCCTGAGCGTGCAGCTTTTCATTCTCGATTTAACGTTCGCTGCGGATTCACTCAAGTACGGGCTCGAAAGCGAAACTCCATAATTACGAGGGCAATTAATTGGAGTAAATATTTTTTTTTGCTTTTGCGCGAAATTTTCTTGCGCCAAATCAAACGTAACCCGATGCCAAATTCCGTGACTCATCATCTAACTTCTTGTATTTTTTCCCCCTCATCAGTGAGCCCTTTCTTCCCACTTTCCCGCTTTCTTGGAATTTTCTCTTCTTGGAACTCTGTATGAATCGATGTGATTAATGCGGCGAATTCCAGGAGCGCAGTTTTCTCATTTCGAGGCTCCTCCGCGGTTTTTCCCGCCTCTTCCCTGCAAGCTTTCCCGTCCATTTCACGGCCAAGGACGTCTGGGAAAAAAAAGGGGGGGGGGGGAATTTCCATTTTCGTCGAGTTTTCAGGCAGTTTCCATGAAGCTCGTAAAGGCGTTTCGAAACTTTCGACGAAAGTCTTTCCCTTTTCGTGGCACGTCTTTCAGGGCCGTTTCGCGGTTGTTCCAGAAGCCCTTGGACATTTTCCCGGACACGAACTTCTGGGTTGCCCTTTCTCGGGTTGCCCTTTTTCGGGTTGCCATCTGTCACATTTTCTTGGCGACGGTCTCGGTGCACTTCCTTTTTTGTTTATTTTTTTTTTTTTTATAGCAGAAAATTAATATTTGGCGCCGGAAAGAGCAGTGCGCGCCTTCCCCCAAGAGATCGATATTTTTTTTTAGACATTCCGACTCGCCTTGAGGCGAGAAAAGAACCCTTCTCTTCAAGAAGAAAAATGGCATTAGTGCTGGAATCGAAGCGCCGTCGTGATGGGGGATGAAGGGTCGTGACTGGGGATGAAGGGTCGTGATGGGGGATGAAGGGTCGTGACGGGGGATGAAGGGTCGTGATGGGGGATGAAGGGTCGTGATGGGGGATGAAGGGTCATGACGGGGGATGATTGGGTTCGTATCCTTCCGGCCTCGTTCAATTCCACCGATATGTCATTTCAAGATATTACATTTCTAGATACGAAAAAAGGATGAAGGATTAATAAGCGGAAGGAAGCAGTCTCAGCCTCGAAATCGGATTTCCCAGGAAACTCGCCGGAATCTCGAACTCTCCGACCGGAAAAATCCCCTCGACAGAAGCGAGGCGGACGAACCGCCGGCGATCGATTCCGGGAATTCATTTCGGATGGGGGGAAAAATAAGAATTGAGAAGCAGGAATGCCGTCGGGAGAGGTTGAAATAAAAAAAAAAAAATGATGAATCGTCTTCGGAAAAATGCAATTGAAAATTCCGGGCCCGAATGGATTCGCCCTTATCTCGCTGACCCGTCCCTTCACGTCACGTGAGTCGCGTGAGTCACGCCCCGAAACGCGTTCCGCTTCCAGCCGGGGGGATACCCGCTGCATAACCTGGAATATTTTCACCGAACCCTTCCTCAGTCCTCGGAAGACGACTTTCTCATATTCCAATGGGTTTCACAAGCGAAGGTCGAAAGGGTTCACATGTGAAATTCTCGGGGGTTCACATGTGAAACACGTGACCGGTATCCCAATTCTCAAAGGTTTCGAAACGAACCCGCGAATCCCCTCAAGATTCAGCTCAGGCCAGACGATCGGGCATCTGGGTCACGGAACCTCACGTCACGCGCCGTGACGCGAGGCGTGAGGGGACCCGTCACGCGAGGGGCGTTCGGCCGAAGTCGCCTCGACGACTCCACCCGCAAAATGATGCCTTAAATTCTTATATAATAATAAATTATATAATAATAAATACTTGGCGCTTCTCCCCTCTCCCTCCTCGCCGATTGCGCGAAATTCCGCGCGCCGATCACGACGATTGGTCTCCTAATTTTCCCTTCATTTAGGATCTAATGCGTGACGATTTGCGTAGGAATTTCGATAGGGTGATCGAGGAAAGACGGAAGCAACAAATACGTTTTTTTTAAATATTATGTATTGTTAATAAGTATTAATACTAAATGGTTGATAATATTAATACTAAATACTAATAATAAATAATAAATGCTTGAGCTGGCCCAAAAAATTATGAGACGTTGATATTAACAATTTAGCAATTTTAACACATAAAAATTTGAAGAAAAAAAAAACAGGAAAATGGACTTTTGCGCGTTCCATGCTTCGCAACAACAAATGATGAGGCACGAAAAGATTTGAATTTAAATCCGAATGCAAGAATTAATTTTTCTTTTTAAATGATACCATAGCAGTAGTTGATCATTGATTTTCATGTTTTTTCTTTACACTTTTATGTGTTTAAAACTGCAGACATTTTGTTAATATCAAAGTTTCGTTATTTTTGGGTTGACCCAAACATTAATAAATGCTCCAGCAAGAGCTGGGAAAATGTGGAGAAAAGACCATTTTTGTAATGGAGAAAATGTGAGGACATTTTGTAATGGAGAAAAATGTGAGGACATTTTGTAATGGAGAAAAATGTGAGGACATTTTGTAATGGAGAAAAATGTGAGGACATTTTGTAATGGAGAAAAATGTGAGGACATTTTGTAATGGAGAAAAATGTGAAGACATTTTGTAATGGAGAAAAATGTGAAGACATTTTGTAATGGAGAAAAGGGGGACATTTTGTAATGGAGAGAATGTGAGGACATTTTGTAATGGAGAAAAAGGTCAATTATAATGGAGAAAAAAGGCAGGTTCATAATTTTCTAGTTACTCCGCCAGGGGGTTAAAGGATCATCCCGCGCAAATCCCTTATCACCTCGCCCAAGGTTTCCCACTGTATCGCACCGCCGCAAACGGGGTTATCGGGGACTTCCAATGCGGATTTCCTCCGGATGATCCATCCGGGTGATCCCTCGACGACTGATTCATCTCTGGCCTCGGGCGGGGAGGGGCGGGGAGGGGCGGGGAGGGGCGAGAGGGTATAAATGCGGGGCGGATCATCCCCCCGGATCCAGTTTCAACTTAGACATGGATTGTCGGGGAATTCTTGTTTTCTTGGTGAGTTCACAATTTTATTTCATACATTTTTTTTTCATCTGATAAAAAGGTTTTTATTTGTGATTCCTTTATTTTGCCATATTTTCATGTTTTCTCCTTAGTTTTTATTGGTATTTTCCCCCAGCATTAATTTTTACGTATACCCAAAATGTTATTTATTTTTTTTTTTAGAATTCACCCTTTCATTCTATCCAGCATTTCGCTTTCTTCGGAAAAGGAAAGCCGTCATCGTCTCGTGCAGCTTATCGCCGGGAATTCCGATTCGGGATTGCTTTTGCCTCCGTTTAGAATTAGTTCTGGTGGTTCTCAGCAAAACGAATAATTTTTTATTTATTTCAAAATTTGTCTTAAATAAGCTGCTTCAAAATGTCGCAATTTCGGCCTGACGTAAAAAATTTAAGTTCTTGGATCCTTAATTTTTTTAATAGTTGCCTGGTACTTATTATTATAACTATTTAAAATCAGGAACTGCGGCCGGTTTTCAGTTCCGCGATTTGCGAAAAATGATAATCCGTTTTTTCTTTGCGCACAGATCGCCCTGCTGTCGGTGATGGCGACGGCTGCCGCCCGCGCTTACTGGTCGGGACACAGGCTAGCCAGAGAAGCGTAAGCCTTTCCTTATGCGTCCGGTGGGCGTCCGGTGGGCGTCCGGTGGGCGTCCGGTGGGCGTCCGGTGGGCGTCCGGTGGACGGGTTCCTTGTGGTTTGCGTGGATTACATCGCGAAGGTTCGACGTCAGTTTTGAAAAAGTTTCTGGAAGAGAGAAAAATCCAGATGTCGGGTCTAGCCAGCTACTTACTTAAGTCTTAAATCTCAGAAATTAGCCGTGAAACCAGCCGAATCCCGGCGCGAAGCCAGCCGCGTCACAGAGAAGCCAGCCGACTTCCTCGCATCCAGCGCGGACTGGGATCTTCGCGCCGCTTCCATTTCTACGCGGTGGGAAGTCCAACACGATCGGTCTGCAATATTGCCATTTCGTGCAATATTGCCATTTCGTGCAATATTGCCATTTCGTGCAATATTGCCATTTCGTGCAATATTGCCATTTCATGCAATATTGCCATTTCGTGCAATATTGCCATTTCGTGCAATATTGCCATTTCTGAGCTCGTCGTCGAATAATAATTTTTTTTGCGTTTTTTCGCTGCGCGTCGGTCTGAAACGAAAAGGAAGGAATTGAATCGGTCGCGAGCGAATCCTCTGATTGCTGCGAGTGCTGTCGCATTTGGCCGCGATACGTGCAAGGAATCGGGGCAGACCCGATTCCTCGCACTGCCCCGATTCCTCGCACTGAGTTCTCGATTCCTTTCACACGTCTTTCGTCCTTTGACTCACCTCGATCACGTGTGGCATTAGGACTGGATCTGACAACACTGTCGCGAATATTCCCTTCCGTTCCCGGAAATTCGCGGGGAAAATCCCAGAAATCTGTTTACGCATCTCGGTCACGACGAGGCCATTCGGGTCTTCGTCCCCTTGCCCAATCCGACAACCCTGACGCAACTTTCTGCGCGGTCGAGGAGTCACCGTTTCGCGGGATTCCGGTCGCAGACTCGGCCGGAAAATCCGAGGGTCGATCGAATTAAATCGATTGCTTCTTTCCGCAGCTTTCGTCGACGGAATTCGGGATTTTTGCACCGCGAGACGCGAAGGAGGTCGTCCGACTCGTCGGGATTTACGAACTCGCACGAAAAATGTTGTTACGACGTGGAAGTCCAATCCCCTGTGATTTACGATCGCGCCACAAAAACGCTATTACAACATAGAAAACCCGTTTTCCCCCGAACTACATGGATAGCACTCTGCCCACTGCCATCCCTCCCGTGCCATCCCTCCCAGGTGCTTCCACTCCCGAGCACGGATCCCTCACGAATGACAGCTGCGGAAATGCCCATACGGGTAAAACGGCTCTGGGCTCAGCCAGCGTGCACGGATCGGACCATCAGCGACTTCCTTTAAACCAACATGTCAATCCCACCATTCACATGAATTATGACATTAACATCCGCAGGATGTTAATCCTCATCGACCGCCTTCATCCTTTTTTTACCAACTCAAGCCGGAAATGGAACCGAGCGAAACGACGCAAACCACAAAACCGGACCATTAAGTACAAAAAGTACTTAAAGGGACCGAATCGGAATTCGTTGCAGGTCTCCCCTGTACGGCGACCCCTACCCCCACCAGAGCCGCGGGACTCCCTTCGAGAGCAAGCGGTTCAGGAAGCCCCAGAGCGCCAAGACCTTTGGTGGGTTCGGCTGATGCAGGGTTGCCGGAATGCAGGGATTCAGGGATGCCGGAGTCAACATTCACGCACATCGAGCGTCTATGGACATTTTTTTTCTTCAAATAAAAAACATATTTTTTTCAAGCTGCATCCCCGGCTCGATGATGATTCCCTAGGATAATCGAGATTCGTATATACACCAAACTGGGAGTGGGTCGACGAAAACCGATGTCTCTTCCCCTTCCAGTACGTACGATGCTATACCTTCTTTTTATATTTATTTTGTTAATTTATATTTCTTTACTTTGCAAACCTTCCGATGCCCAATGAGGAACGCGTCGGACGAAAAGTAAAAAATAAAAAATAAACTCGCGTATCCAACTCGGTAAATGATTCCCAACAATAGGGAATAAAGCTAACAAGAAGCATCGATCGACGAATCGAGTCGAGAAATGACGGAAGTCAGACCTTCAACCCCTCCCCCCCATGAGGCTTCGATGCACCGTCGGTGGTACACTGGCGTTCACTGGTAAAATTTTCCTAATGAAGATCGTGAGAGCTATCATTTTATAATTATAATTTATTATATATAATAATAATCATAGCATCATTTTTAAGATCCTGAGATACGCACTCCGTTCCTTCGCCGCCGTCCGAATCCGTCGTGAACAATTGTGAACAAGCCATGAACACGTTCAACGAGACCGAGATCCGAATCGACGTTTCGACAACCGTGCGGCTTCGCGGCGGAGTGGGATCTGGCAACCCTGCGACGTCTGAGGGCCGTCGACGTCGGCTTGTTTTAAGAGAGAAGTTGGATTTCCCAGAAGAGAAGCAGCCGATTACTGAGGAAACGGCCAGAAAAAAAAAAATCTCCCCCGGGAAACGAGTCTCTGTCGTCTGCTCGGAAGGAAAGGCAGCGAAACGCTGAAAACCAATTTAACCGGCTCGATTAAATTTGGTATCTAACGATACCAAATGTAATATTAACAAGTGCCTCGTCAAATGATTATATCTCATAAAGCACTTGTGTGTTAATATCATATTTGGTATCGTTATAAAAAAACATAAAAAAAACACTTGGAATCAAGTATTGACACCACGAGTTCCAATCATGGCAAGTGTAGATATCTTCCGCTGAACTTGACCAAACTGTTTCATTAAGTGGAAGTTCTTGTCGGAAAATAATGTCTTAGTACAATCTACAATAAAATTAAATTTTACAATTAAAAACGACACCATAACGAAGCTTTTACCTCGACCAGAAGAGAAGCTACAGCAAAAATAGTCTCACGATTCCAGTCCACATAGGCGACACTCAAATGCATATAGCCAGATAATTAATATTTAAAAAAAAAATCTCTGAAATCATTTTATTATAATCAATCATTTTACATGCATACCATGCCCCACACTAATATTATACCAAACTGCTCGGGAAGAGCAGACAAATCGATTCGCACCGCAAACGGCACCAAGCAAAAAAAAAGTTGGTGACTTTTGAATCACCCTGTACATTCGCAATTTTCCCTTTCCCTTTTTTATGTTGTATTGTCGATTAATTTTAATACTAAATAGTTAGTACACGCTTGGGTTGACCCAAAAATAATGAGACTTTAATATTAAAAATCAACGGACGCAATTTTAACGCATAAAAAGTTGAAAAACAGGAAAATCAACAACTATTTATCAACGACTCCAATGGCAAAAAAAAATTATTTTTGCATTCGGGTTTTAAAATTTTAGAGAGAATTTAAATAAACTAAATAATTGTTGACAATCCCGGGGGGGGGGGGGGGGCGAAAAATATTGAATTTGAACCC